ACACGTCAATCCGCCCCCCTCCTCCGAGCCTGATTTACGACCGCATGTTTGCTTTCTACGACACGAATGGGGACAATCTGATCGGATTCGAGGAGTTCCTGAAAGGTCTAGCCAGCTTCAACAACAAAAGCGTCGATGAACGGATGCGCCGCATCTTCCGGGGCTATGACATCGACGGCGATGGATACGTGGAGCGGAAAGATTTCCTTCGAATGTTCCGAGCTTACTACGCCCTCAGCCGAGAATTGACCCGGGACATGGTCGCTGGCATGGAAGATGACTTCTTAGAGGGCGGCGCGCGCGATGTCATTCTCGGAAGCCAGCCCATCAGCTCCGCCTTTCCGGGGAACATCCCATCTGGAGAAGCATCCAGAACTGGAGAGGGCAAACGGACGAACCTCGAAGGCGACATGGAAATCGTCGACAATGGGGGTGTACTCCGGCCTGATGGCACCGACACCGGTGATCCAAACGACGTCATAGGTGATGCTGCCGTCCGTGAACGGTTTGGTCGTGTGCGTCCGGTGTTTCCGTCTACCGTGCGTTCAAATAACACGGCTCCCTCTCAGCCCTCGCCTCCTCCTCCACCGCCACCAGCGGCAGCTAGCAACAACGGCGCTGAGAGTGAAAACGACGAGAATCATCCCGACGGAAGGGAGGATGACGAGGAAGAGGTCGAAGACGAGGATGAAGACGAAGAGGAGGACGACGACGAGGAGGAGGAAGACGAAGAGGAAGAGGAAGACGAAGAGGAAGAGGAAGAGGAAGAAGATGATGATGACGAAGAAGACGATGACGATGATGAAGACGGGTCCGACTCTGCCGGTAGTGACCACTGGCCGCCAGCAGAGCATGTCCTCGAGGAAGATATCGTGAATGCCCTAGGAGCTTATGTGCCTCTGCAGGAGGTCACCAACCGCGCAGATCGGGCTCGAATTGAAGATGCAGTATACCGTCGCATGCACGATGAGGACCGGAGACGAGTTGAAGAGGCGCGAAGAGAGGGCATCCGGGAACGTTGGCAGCGGAGACGATTCTATATCGACGAAGAGGATGGTGCCACGCCGCCAGAAGGCTACCAAGAGGAATCAGACTTTTACGATTTCAGCGACGGCGACGACGCAGTTGAAGGGCATCTTCAACATCATCATGGTGATCGCCTGGAGTCCGAATCCCATCCTCCTTCTCGCTCCCGGTCATCATCCAAAGTTCGCTTCCAGGATGACGTGACGGATGATTGCGATGTGAGGTCCAACCCATCGACGTCGTCGCGCAGCATCCCGGTGGGCGAGCGATGGGGCGGCTTCGAGGTCCCCGAAGTCGAAAAAGACGTGGGAAAGGAGATTCTCTACCAAGTCACACAGCAAGGACTCAATGAGCTACTGGATATTCTCTTCAAACCAAAAGAAGATCTATTGATGGAAGCATATCGCACTCGAGCGGAACGGAAGAGATGGGCTCGAGAAATCGAGCAGATCGAGCAGTTGGACCCGAAGAAGAGACCTAAACAAGATGGACCAACGAGGGAGAACCAGGCTGGAAACAGCAGTGATAGCACATCTGACATTCGATCGAAGTCTCTCGAGGAGCTGTTAGCAGAGTCAGGGTATTCAATCGTGCAAGACAGCACAGAGCTGGTCCAGCCTGAGCCGGTCCGCACTCCATCTGCTGCTGACCAACAGCCTGACCATCATGATGGTGACAATTTAACCGATCCCACTCTCCCTCAGAACCGCCCCGAGAATTGTGGTATCGAGCCTTTCCCTCCTCCTCCAGCCGATATTCCCACGACGACAGTGACCGAAGAGGTCGACCCCACTCTCCCACAGAACCGTCCTGACGAGGCAGACGAGAGTCCTGCAGCGGTCGACACGCCAACGTCCAGTCGCAGACGGACTCGACCTCAGTCTCGGCAGGATCCTTCACAACCGTCAGAACCGTCGCGGCTACTCCAGCCAAACGGCTCGACCTCATTCCCGGCGCCACGGTCCGTAGATTCATCGTCTCCAGAAGCAGAAGCCACCGCGCCCAAATTCTCTCCCACCCTCAAACCGGCCTCTCCTTCTCGTCAAGCGCAGGTGTCTCCAACCCTGCCGCCGCAGCAGGGGACACCACCCCGACCGCCCTCTCCGCAGACGCTGTCTCGCTGGGCATTTCTGAACCAAGTCGAGCGCGAAGCCAAGGAGCGCGGCGGCGGAGCCAAGCTGAACTTCGAGGAGTTCCGGCAGAGGATGAACACGGACCGGGGCCGACGATTGGGGTTTATAAGCAGCTGGATCGAAATGGCCAGTTTTTAGCGGCCACTATCGACATTTGGTTCTGATGGCGTTGGACTGGATTGGACAAAGGGATAGAAAAGCGGTGGTGGTTATTATTGCCATACAATACATACATACATAAATTTTCTTTTTCTTTGATTTACACACACAGCTCCTAACATCTAGCATCTCGCATCTAACATCTAGAATCATCTGGAGATGATGGATGGGTGAATGGATGGATACAGAAAAATGTATGTATGTACTATAGTTATTGTGGTGTACTGTTCATAGAACGATTAAAAAAAAATTCAGGAGCTAGAAAGAAAAATTCTTCCCTTTTCTTTATTTCTTCCTTCCTTCCTGTCATTATCGCCTACTGTACTGTACATTACATACATACCGAATGTAGCATAATTTAAAAAGGGAAAGAGAAATTGAACGAAAGAGAAAAAAAAAAACTTTTAATCCCAATACCTAATCACACCATCCAATCCACCCGTTGCCACTTTACTCGTTTCCTGCGGATGCCAATCGAGACAAGTGACAGCCGCGCCCTCTTTCCCGCCAGCCTGCATCTTATGGTACATTTTGCCCGTCTTCCAGTCCCAGAAACAGACGTAGCCGCCCGTGTCTCCGGAGGCGACGAACTGTCCGTCCGGGGAGATGACGACGTCGATGGCGTAGCCGGCGTTGTTGTGGCCCCGGAAGGACTTCTTGCGGTGTTGGCGGAACTTGTCTGTCGCGGCGTAGACGACGATCTGGTTGTCGCCCGATTGGAATGCGACATATTTCCCGTTCGGGTGTGGTGCGGCCCGCACAAGGGCGTACATGTACGGCTCGGCGATGAATTTGATCGGTACGGGGATGTTGTACTCCCACGCGCGCAGCGACTTGTCGTCTGACGTGGAGATGAAGCGTCGGTTGTTGTCGACGAAGGTGATCGTGTTGATTGCCGCCAGGTGGTGGTCGTACTCCTGCGTGAGCTCGCCCGTTCGCGTGTCGAACTGGACGATCTTCTTGTCCGACATACCGGCCAGGAATTCGTGCCAGTGCTCGGGGTCTGGGTTGAAGCGGACAACGTGCGGCGTCTTGCCCGTCGAGAACCGTCCCAGGCATTTCCCGTATTCGGTGTCCCACAGCTTGATCTGTCGGTCGTACGACGCCGTGAGGAACGTCTTGCCAGTCGGGTGGAAGGTCGTGTCGGTGATAGCCTTGGTATGGCCCGAGAAGGTCCGGAGCAGCTCCCGCTGGTGGTAGACGTCCCAGATCTTCGCTTTTCCGTCGGCGGCGGACGACAGTAGCAGGTGGCCCGATTGCGGGAAGAAGCGCAACGACGTGATACCCTTCGTATGTGATTTGTACGTGTGGATCAGCTTCTTGGGCACGTAGTTCCTGATGCTGCCGACCTCCTTCTTCAGATCGATACCCAGATCCTGTGGCACATGCATGTATGTCCGCCCCAGGTAGTCGAACTGCTCCGAGCCGTGGAACTCGGTCGTCTCGGTCTGCGACAGATCCTCCTGGTAGTCGGTCGCCTCCTTGCTCATGGCCGGCATGTTCGCAGGCGCGACCTCTTCCTCCTCGACATATTCTTCGTCGCTGGCAAGCTCCTGACCCACAAGCGCCGCCTCTTCCTCCCACATCTGGTCGTCGTCTTCGTACTTCGCCCAGGGACCTTTGTAGGCGTTTTCGCCTTCCAAGACGCCGGGATCGCCTTTCTTCTGTCTCTTCCGCCGGATCTCGGCCGTCTCCTCTTTTGAGGGTTTCATCTGGATGACATCGCGGCCACCATGTTTTGCTGCGTTTTCCAGATTCCCGACGAACGCCTCCGGTCGGCTCGGGTCACGGGTATACCCCAGGCTCTGGAAGGTGCGGTGTTGCGCGGTGAACGTCGCGTCGCTGATGGCAGCCTCTTCGGCGTACCCCGTGGGCACATTCTTGCGTTTCAGTCCGTTGCCAACGCCGGCCGGTTTGAAAGGATTGGCGGGCCCCAGGGCAGGGCGCGACAGGTCATCGTAGGTCGCGTTGTACGTGAGAGCGTTGCCGTTGGTGTTAGCCAGAAGCTGCATTCGGGACGGGTCCTGTAGATGCATTGTTAGATACCATCGTAACCTTCATCAACTTTTGCGGGGACTGGAGACCAAACCTCTACGATGACATCTGGCGCCGCATCGATCTTCGTCGTGGCTGTGGACGAAGAAGTCGTAGTAGGTGCAGGCTTTTTCGCCTCATCGTCGCTCGAGGAGTCATAATTTGTACCCACGAGCGAAGCCATGATGGGCAGACATAGAAAGAAAAGAAGAGAAAAATAAAAAGCAAAGAAAGGGGAAATCCGATATCGACGTGGGGTATTCGTGGGGTATTATTACGATCATTGAACTGGCGACTGGCGAGGCGACGGAGTTAGTTGATAGACTGATAATCCGATGTTGAATTTTCCGGTTAGCCACTCCGACCCGTAACGCAACTAATATATCAGCCACGCCTGCATTATTATTACGGGGAAAGCCACAGGATAACACCTCGAGGACACGTACTTTCAGGTTGGTCAGTCTCTGCAGGGTGTTTGAAATTCACAAAATAGGGATTTTTTTTAAAAAAAAGAAGGATGGATACTGGAATTCATCTACAAACTAGATAACCTGCTGATCGGAGACGACATACTACAGATAAGCACCGTAAATAAGTATCGTACGCTCTTCATTAGCAACTGCGTCAGAGGTATATCAAAAATAGAAGACAAACAGGTAGATAGAAACTTTACACGTAGCATTGTGCCTTGATAGCTCTCTCAACAATACCTTCTCGCAGCTCTCGGATGACACGAATTATAATGTAAAAAAAAAGGTCCCATTTATCACAATCATAGAAGAAATAGCGCCTCCGCCCAAGCCTCCCCGACTTGCAGTGAACCCATTTTCTATCGTCATTCATGACCACCTCATCCTACCATTTTGCTTCCAGCAGGACGGGCCCTGCTGGCGACGCAGGCAGGATAGGCGGACGGCCTTGGCGAGCCCCTGCTCCAAAAAGTGGTAGCTTCTGTTTGTCTTTAAACGTTTATAGCACACTTTCGACAGGATGAAACAGACATGGCTGATTCTAACCCGGACGACCGTGGCGCATGGCAAACTCCGTCTTTTCACGGAGTCAGTGGGTCTCGTCGCGGATTAGGGCGACGATCATGCTGTAGAGATAGAAGAAGAACATCAAGAGGTGGAAACCCAGCTTGATGAACGACTCCTGCAGATATGCGTCAGCTTCGATCTAATGATGTGTCATCATCAGAGGAACCAACCTTCTTGTGCACGTTAAGCTTTCGGAAGATCTCGGTTGCATCCAAGAGATGCTGGTTGTCGAAGATCCTAAAGCGAACATGTTAGTCCTATCGCCATCACGCGACTATACGATTTTCGAGGCATATGGCAGGAACGTACTTCTTTCCGTTGAAAGCCAAGAGTGGCAGGTTAAGGATGATAGCCAGCCAGTAGCCATTGATGACGAAGAGGAAGGTCAAAAAGGCGTGAACGGCGGCTTCCGGGACAATGTAGGCGTTCAGGCGGTTGCAGAGGTCGATGGGGTTGATGTAGTCACTGTGGTTACAATTGCAGTCAGCAATTATTCATCACATTGTTGAAACAAATGGAATAAAATCAGTGGAATGGCGACAGTATATGCTCGCCCAAGCACGACAGTTGAGGCCGGCTATTTCAAGTCGGAAAGCGGATTTTTTTTCTTCTGCAGCACTCACCATTCTAGATCACTGTACATGATCGTGAAGAAAACCTGCAGAAACAGGTTGACGGCGTTGAGCAACACCGCCAGAAGATAAAGCCACGCTTCGCCAGACATGGTGAGAGAGGCTTGTTGAGGTCCGATTCAGAAGTGCTAGCTGTTGGTCTGGTCTCTAGCTGGCGCCGGAAATGACACGTCCAGAGCTGGATGGATGCGCGCCCGTCCGTAATCGCAGTCAAGTGGGCGGGAAAGGGCGAAAGAAATGGAGAAAGGCGCCCACGGACAGCAACAGAGTGGACAAGTATAGTATAGGGAAGGAGGACGAGGCGAAGGAGAGAGCGTGGTTCGAAGCTGCGCTGGCCAGCGGTTTGTGGAGTGGTCGAAGTTGCGAAGATGGCTAGTCAACGTTGGAGTTAGCTGCGAGGCTAGCCTTCCCAGTAAACATGGTGGGGAACCAGGCGGACCGAACACGGAGATAGATAAGCCGTGTACTCAGAGGCTACGAGGTGATAGAAATAATTCAGAGAAATAGAAGGAAGGGAAAAAAAGGAACAAAGAAATAAATTAAATGTTTTTGACAGATGGTCGGAAATGTCAGCAGGCAGATCGATCTGTTGGGAGCTGTTGAGAAGAGCTCTCCAAAGTGCCTGTCTAGGAAGGGATCCCTGAGCTTTGGTCCGAAAGCGGTCAGAGTGCCAAAGTGCTGCGGTGTGACCCCATCCAAACCCGGTTGTCATGCATTCCACTTCTACAAAAAGATCCCTGGACTATCAAGCTCATGCCACTGGCTTAATCACACTGCAGTGATATCATTGTATAGTTCCCATTGCACCAAATCGCCCACATACTATGAACATGAAACCCAACGAAAGAAACAACACACTAAACGGAGCAATGCTGTAGGATGCAGACGAAATGCAATGATATATGTGCATGGTCAACCCCTTCACCTCTTCTCGACCAGCAGAAAATGCATCGCAACATATGCGATGACGATGAACACTCCTGAGATAATGCCTAGCCCGATCACATCCGACCATAGGGCTAGTGTGTCAAAGCCAAAGGCGCTCAAGATTGAAGCGCCGGGAACCTCGATGTCCAGACCATACTTGTGGTCGATTAGCGTAAGATAGGTCACTTCGTTTACAATAAGTGCCTCGAATCCGTAATGGAAAATTGATAGCTGTTGCTTCTGTTAGTTGTGCGGCACACACACGAGGATAGGAACAGAGCAGATATGGAAACTCACTGTTTGCAACCATAGTGCCCCTTTGGGAATGGCATCGTGGTTGAGAAGCAGACCGGCAAACAACAGGCTGAAGAGCATCACCAGGCTGCCAATGAGGTTTGCCACACCGCCATCCCGGAATACGATACCGATGAAGAGACAGATACCCGCGGCGGCCAGGTTGAAGAGGACCAGGATTAGAAGGAACCTCAAAAACTCCGGCCACGCTGGGATCAAGCCGGTCATCGGATACACAATCACGCCCATGATAATGGGAGGAATCAGCCTGAGCGGCACGATATCGAAAATGACCTTGGCAGCAAAATAGGCCAGTGGAGAGTAGTACCCATTGGCCCGCTCCCGGAGAAACAGCAATCTTTCCGACGAAAAGACCGTCAAGCTGGTCAGGGTACTGAACCCAAAGAGAGCGAGGATGAAGAAGAAGAGACCCAAACGGTTTTGGAAACCCTTGATGTCGTCCGTAAGCCCATAGAAGAGATAGCCACACAACACGGCAAGCAGGATAGATATTGCGTAATGCGTGAGCATGAGCATAGGGTTCCGATACAGATTGCGCCATGTCCGCTGGGAGAGAATGACGAACTGCCGAAGCAGGCCAATCCGGGCATAGCCCTTCCCCTGGTGCGACGGCACCTGTCCAGACAGGACGTCTGCATTCGGGGTTCCATTTGCAGCTGCAGCGTTCTGCACGGCGGCAACAATCTCCTCGTGGACAGAGCTGGCAACGTCAGAGGCCGCGTAGCTAGCCACAAGCGCATCAAGATCTGTAGTGCCCGAAGCCGGCGGCGGAAGATGGTCAGGATCATCGGGTATCTGGGGAGGAACAGAGCTCTGCGGACGTGACGAAAGGCGTAGCCACTGTTGCGAATTGTCAACCGATGCCACATCCGCCTCCTCTTCGTCCGTCTTAGGTGTGGGAGGAGCCTCCGCATCTGCCTTCCTCCGGGTGTAGAGTTGCTTGTCTTGACGTTGCTTCAGGGACTGTCGTCGTTTACTTCTCGGTCGATTTGAGCCGTCTTGGGGTGTCTTAGGAGGATCCTCGAAGCTGGCGTTCGAGGCGCTCGTGATAGACTTGACAGCTCGCAGGCTGCTGGACGCTGTCTTCAGATGGTCTGTGTGCACATCCAATCCCAGAGGCTCTTCATCAAGAGGTGATCGGGCAGCACTGGCATGCATGGTCAGATCCACGAGGAAGTCGGCAATGTTGAAGCCGGGAGGGCACGGATAGCCGATATGGTCGAAGTACTGCTGGCAAGTTGAGAAGGGACCAGAGTAAACGGTTTTGCCCTTTGCCAGCAGAATCAGGCGATCAAACAAGGCAACAATGTTCGAGCGCGGCTGGTGGATGGTGAAGATCACAGTACGATTATACGTTTTTGCCAAGGTCACCAGGCATTCGATAACATTGAATGCATTATAAGCATCCAACCCGCTGGTGGGCTCATCCAGGAAAAGGATGCTTGGACTGGTGACCAGCTCGCAAGCGATCCCGACTCGTCTCTTCTCTCCGCCAGAAATTCCACGGCCCTTGCCTTCCTCGGACCCAATCAACTGGTCCTTGATGTGGTAGATTCCAAGCTGCTTCTCAACTTCAAACACCCTCTGCTCCTTCGCGAAGCGACTCATATCTTTCGGCAATCTGAGCAAGGCGCTCGTCAAGATCGTCTCATGGACGGTCAACGTCGGAAGCATCGTATCTTCCTGATCCACAAACCCGACCATGCTCTTGAAATCACTGTCGCTGATCTTTTCGCCGTTCACGTAAAAGTCACCCTGGACAACTCCACGTTTATTCTTGCGAGCCAGTATGTCAAGGAATGTGGTCTTTCCTGCACCAGACGCTCCCATGATGGCCGTGATTTCGCCAGGAGGAGCGGCACCTTGGATGCCCGACAGAATCTCCTTGCCATTGAGATAATAGGATACGTTCTCGAAATGCAAGGCGGCCGGTTTGTGGTCCGTCAAAAGCTTGTCGGCTTCATCGTCGGAATCGTCAGGGAGACGGATAGCTGAATAACCTCGGTAGGCGGCCCGCCTGGAGAGATACCAGACTCCGAGAATCACTGCCACGACAAACAGAGCACAGCCAGCGATGACTCCAGCGATGAGCGGCGTGTTAATTTTCTTCACTGGACGCTGGTAGCCGGGAACATCGGTTTTGTAGAGACACTCCCCAGAGAAACAGTTCAAGGTGATGCTCTGGTCGCCAAAGACACTTTTGATCAGGTCATTCATTGCTGGTTCCTGGAACTTGCTGCCGTCTTCACTGCTGCCACCGACTGTGGAGAGAGTCGAGAATGTTGCAGGGCCCTTGATGGACTCCTCCAAAAACTCTCCGATATCGATCGAGCCTGCCTCGCCGCAAAGCATTCGTCCCGGGATACATTTACAGCGGACATTCTCGCATCTATAATGCGTGGAATTGTGGTCATAGTCGGTTTCCATCCCCCAGTCACACGTATCGAGAGCGCAGTAGAACGACTCCACCTGGTCGACCCAAACTGCCCATTGCGTCAGCTCATGTAATATACAGACGAGGGATGATTCCACGCTTGAACGTACATTGAAAGTTGCAAGTCTTATCGGTTGCCTCGCAGGAAAAGGTGACCTGGGGCTTCCGATCCTTGAGTTGATCCAAGATCTTCCTATTGGTAACATCGCACATTTGATGGTTCTCTTTGACGACGAGGCCCTGGGTGTAGCAGACACCTCCTTCGCCGTCAGGCATCATCGCATTACAGGCATCGTCCGTCCTGCAGACATTGCAGTTGATGCCATCCCAGCCATCCTTACACTTGCAGTATTTGTCCTGTCGTGGTGCCCGGTTGACTCCGTCCGCGAGGGAACCGCAGGTGGGAGTGGAACAGTCATCACCACCAAAACCGGGTGGGCATAAACATTTGCCGGTATACTTGTTGCAGGGAGCGAACTGCGTGCATTGGAAGGCGTCGAGCTGGCAGTTGAAACACGGAGGACACTCTGGTGGGCGATCATCGAATACTGAGTAGAGAGGTAAGAGGTCGTCTGAACTGGAGTAGTTCCGTGCAGCGGCGGTCCTCAGGGAGGACCCCAGGGCCAGGACAAGACCAAGTAAACGGAATCTGCGGACTTCGACCATGGTCCTCGCAATCTAGGATAATAGTTGAAGGGAAAGAAAAGGCCGTTGCAGGACGTAGACGGGGCACCGGAGCCGGCGGTTCGACAGCGGCTTCGGGTTCAAGCTTGCCGACCGATGCGGAGCTCAAGGGACATAGACAGAGGGACTAATCAGACAATCCAGAGTAGAAGCGGTATACGGACAAGAACCCTCCAGACATTCGCCGGACCTGCTGGCGATGAAGGGAGAGCGATCTGGACAGAGAACTGAATGATCAGAGGGAGTGAGGCTTGGATGGAGGCTGGGGAGGTCACAGGTGTTGGCGTT